GTTCTGAAAGTTTCGCTTATTAAATATATTTCAAGTTTCAACGTCGTTCTTAATTTATTATCGCAAGTATATGTTAATGTCTTTTCAAAGTGGATGTTTCATTTGTTTCATGATATTAACTGAATTGATTCGCCATCGATAATAATCCAGCAGCTGCTTCTTCAAATTGACTTTCGCAGAATATCTAACCCATTGAGCTGGACAGAGGCGAAAGAAACGTAAGGGCAGCTTCCATTCGTCGATCTTTCTTCCGCCTTCAACACAATCCCGTGTGACAGCCCGATGCTGAAATTTCTTGCAACTTCCGTGGACCGCTTGATCCCTAGCGGCTTGCCTACTACCAGTCCCTCCGTCGTCAATTCGTGAAATGTAATCAACAGAAATCAGAGGTCATGCCGAACAACTTGGGCGTAGTTCAAGGAACGGTACTGACACATATGTTGCTTAATATATTTATAAACCACATCATCGCTGATGCTCCTCTGAGAGGTATTAAATATGCTTACACCGCAATCCTGATGGGGTCCCGGCAGTCAGTCAAAGACTAGAGTACTTACAAAAACGGCGTCTCCACTACCTACCGTTTTTCTCCGCAGACGGTCTCATTCAAGACCCGGTGAAGTCGAAAGAATTCATCTCCCTGATGCGAGGCATCAAATAGAGGACACTTCATCACCTCTCAACTGCGGCACTAGATATTGGCAGTTACTCTGCGTCTGCGTCCCAGGTACAGCACATTAAGTATCTCGGCGCGATTCTTTCATCCCACCTTACATAACACAAGCACGTCTAGGCAATGGCAGAGCATTGCGGCAAGGCGTGCTTTTACACCAAATGACCGAGGGGTCTTCAGGCGCCGCGAGATAGGGTTAGAAACTTCGTATTCGCGTGTATCATTCTTCTCTATGTTTGTGCTGCTGCCGTATTCCCCGAGTTGAAGTTGTGTGACTTCAAGATCACTAAATCTAGCTTCCAAACAAAGCGAATTGCATAGAAGGGATCTCGAAGTATCAACAGTCAAATTTTCTCTCGCTTAAGATGTTCAAATGGCCACGAAGATTACGGATAAACCCACCCACCAACTGTATAACAGTGTTGCCAGGTGCCATTCACGAAATCCGTCCACCGAATCATCCTATGCCAGCGTATCTTCTCGAACCAAACTGTTCAGAAGATCCATTTACCCAGCTTTAGCGCAAACCTTCAGAGGCGTGGAGGCTGACCATCAGCACTATTTGGATATGCTCAATCTTACATAGTTTTGCATTGTTTTAGTTTTGATTAAACTGCCTCTGATCTACTCTATGATAGCTTCGAAATCTATTCTACCCACTGTATATATTGCCTTATTTTTATGCATCTACTTTATGCTATTTATATATTCCGTTTTGATAATGCTGAAAATTGGGGTTTACTGTGATCCTTTCAAGTAGTAAACTTTCAACCTTCATTCAAATATGAGTGCTTTATTTTCGAAAGTGTGAAATTACGATTATTAATATCCCATGGTGTTATGTACAGACTGTAACTCCAGCCTTAAAAATGTATAATTTAATTCATTTAAAGGCGGTTTACTGATGTGGCTCAAGCGGCCAGCATAGCAGTCATAACAAAAGACCGAGTCTTTCACGTAGAAAGAAACGAAACATTTTGAAAAACTTGAATGTGAATCCCGCACAATCTTCAAACACTGGCGGTTAACTTCAGTTACGGCAGCGAACAGAGAAGAATAAATTTCTGGTAATGACCAGAAAGACGAGCTTCGATATACAAGCTGGCAGCATAAGTACAACACGTAAACTAGAATTTTCAAAATAACGCGTTATATCTATGTTTCCTCAGCAAAGCGTTAATTATGGACTATTTATTATGAATAAGCATTATAAGCACTTCGGTGAGCACAACACACTCAAACCTTCCATTCTTTCTAATTATTTTTGCAGTCTTGAAAATTCGAATTGGAAGCAACCTCTCCATCTAGCCAATGCAATCCCTCAGTAATTTACTATTCATTAGCATGTCTGCAACTGTTTTCATTAACAAATCCTTCTATCACCACTTCTTGGACACTTGAATAGCCTGCATCTGCATTTCGATAAGTTCCATTCTTGCCCGAAACTCTGCCTACCTGAAACGCTTAATTTTATATGCCATTTGAAATTCAACTAGTTCAAAATGAAATATCAGTATAGCCTAAAAAATATTTTGATTCACATCTTCACGCTTGCTCACGGTGTGCGCCTACTCTGATGAGTCATGGATAATGAGTTATTGCTTCTTTTCAATTGAGTCGCAATCAGAATCAGACTCACATTTCAAAGTTTAGAAGCGAACGCATGTGCAAGCGTGTGTTTGCTCAATTTATTCTATAAGGCAGTGAGATGCATCCGCGGCCTACACATATGTCTGACAACTTCTCAATGACATCCACTAGTAACGACACGCATAGCATGAGAATTCGACGAAGTCATCGAGCGAGTACAATAACTCATATTCTGAGCCGCTCTAGGGTAAGCGATAAACGGTTTTACAGTAGTGCGGTGCTCTCTGTCTTCTGGCATATGTACATGGG